AAGAAAGAAAGAAAGAAAGAAAGAAAGAAAGAAAGAAAGAAAGAAAGAAAGAAAGAAAGAAAGAAAGAAAGAAAGAAAGGGAGGGAGGGAGGGAGGAAGGGAGGAAGGAAGGAAGGAACAAAGGAAGAAAGGAAGAAAGAAAAGAATTCCTGGCTCAGCAGTTCCTTTGGTATTTAACACCCATGCTATGATCCTACTTAGGTACTTAAAAAAATGTTTGTTAAATTAGCTTGATTTCCTGGATCTATAAAAATAGTCAAATAAATAGATTTAGAGCTGAAAGAGACTCCAGAGGTCACTTAGTCTACCTTCTTTCCCCTCATTTTACAAGTGACTCACCAGGGACCCAGAGATGTTAATGACTTGCCTATAGTTACACAGTTAAATCCTCCTGTCAGTGGCAGGAGGATTTGAACTCAGAACTTTTAAATCCAAGCGCAGCTTTTTGTCCACTACGCCACGTCTCCTTTTTAAAAGAGCTGTTACCCTAATGTAATTTAGCCTCCTAATAGCCGTAAAAGAGGCAGTGTGATAGAGATCATGGAATTTAAGCTGGAAAGGACCTACAAGATCACTTTGTCTAACCCCCTCGTTTTACAGAGAAGGAAACTGAGGCTGAGAGGTTAAGATGCTTGCGCGTGGTCACCCAGCAGGTAAATATCAGAAGCTCAATCTGACCCCAGGTCTTCCTGGCTACAAGTTCAGCACTCTGTTGGCTGTATGATGCCATTCTCTCCAAAGCAAGTGATGGGTTCCTCATGATTCTGAATTTCTTTTGAAGGCATTCTGCCATCCCCAGAAGTCGGTGTTGTTGGGGATTGGTTCCACCCTCAAATTGCCAAGCTGCTTATGACCTTTGAGATCACCTAGTCTGACCCTCACATTTTAGAGATGAATAAACTGAGGCCCAGAGAGTGACATATCCTGCCCAAGATTGCACTGGCTATAAACAGCAGAGCCAAGGGTTGGACCCATGCTTTCTGCTGCCAAACTGGTTGCTTTTCCCACAACACTTTGATGTAGAAAACCAGCGCTGTATCCAACTTTTTTCCAAAAGACAGATAAGCTACAGGTGACTGGACAACATAATTATTGCTCCCATGGGCCATGTTGACTTCCTCTTCTGGGTTACTGAGTTTCATGACCCCCATAAGGTGAAGCTGATGGTCCTGGAATCCCCCTTTAATACAATGGCCCCTGGTGTGTGGCATTTGCTTTCTGTATTTTAGCCCAGTCATGAATTGTCCTCCGGTGAGGCATAGGCAAGACTTTGGGGAAGTAGGGGATGGGGGAAGAAATTCTGAAATACGGAAAAATCAGACCTGCGGTGTGAGTGGGACACCTGTCACTGTTCAGGAAATAGGGCTTTGAGGGGCATGGAGGAGGATGGGCATGCACATACACACACCAAAAAACTTTCAGATGTAGAAAACAATGAATTAAAAAAAAAACTTTCCTCCCTTTTTTATTAGATCTTACCATAAAAACACAACTTAAAATTTAATTTAAAATTTTTGTAACTATACCAAAAAAGTGAGTAAATATCTTCCCTACTTATGCATTAAACATTTCAAATGTGTGGGTGACTCTCTGCTTGAGCTATTGGTGCATATCTTGGGGTCTCCCAAGTAGAGGTCCTCCATGTTGGGCCAGGGGTGTGGTGGGGAGGGGCAGGAGAGCTCCTGAGTATGGTAGGGTGAGGACTCTTTAAATGTTAGTGGGAGCCCAGGATTTTTACTTCCTTTACCTTTTACCTCTTAATTCAATTCAATTCAATTCATCAAATACTATCTGCAAGGTACAAAGGCAAAAATGAAATTATCTTTTCCCATCAAAGAGCTTCCATTCTACGTGAAATTTCTTTGAACTGAGTGCTAGTGATTTAATCACATTTAGTCAAGCTTCAGGAATAATAAATTGGGGAAATGGGGTGCTTTTTGGGAATGGGATCATGGACACAGCAAAGGCCTATCACTCCTGAAAAGAAATAGGTATCGCTTAAACAAGTAACAAGTCAAATGGTCTGAGCTCTCTCCTGGGGACCATAGTTTGAGTCACCTATTAATCACCTATTTGCCAACCATGGTATGATAGAAATTAATAAAGGATATAATCGAACCAAAAAGAAAACATTCAAGGGACAAGTATAGAACCAAGTTAATAATAATGGATATTAATATGACATTACATTTTCAAAAGTTGTTTCACCAGCTCAATTGATCCTCAGAACAACCGCTGAGAAGCTGTCTATACGACTCTGTTTCATGGAATTATGGGACTCAGTAGCTGGAAGGCCCTTAAAGTAGGTCTTGTCAAAGGAGGAAGTGGAGGTCTGGGAAAGTAGTGGCTTGTCCAAAGTCACAAAGCTAGTAAATAGAATTTGAACCCAAGTCTCCTGTGTCCAAGGGCAATAATATTTCTTACTACACTATGGCTGCCTCCAACGCATGAGAATCAAGAATGAAATGAAAGGGGCTGACATCAGCAATGTTATTGTGTTGATTTGCATTTCCTTTGACCCTGCTGTGACATTCTGCTTTTAACATGGTTAATTGCAAAACAAAAACAAAAATGTAAGCAAGCCCCATTCTGTGGGCAAATCTGAGAGGCATTTAACATGATGAGAGGGTTTTTTCTTTATTTTTAAAAGAAAGTTATTGATAGATTTTTTATTTTACAATGTTACTTTTCGTTCACTTTGCTTAGAAAATCAAGATCATATTTGTCCAGAAGAAATAAACTGGAATCTTGGACACTGTTTGATTTTCTGTTTTAAGGTCTCATTGGTTTGCACCAAAATGAATTTGTATTGCTGAGGAATCTTCCTGGACACTGTCAAAAAGTTAACTTCTCTGGAAATTCAATGAAATGGACATCCTAAAGGACCCTTCCCTTTTAGTTACCAAATTAGTGGTATACTTAGGAATCAAAAGGGGAGGAGTGAACTTGAAAAAAAGAGAAGAAGGTTTGGGAGGGGGGAAGCATAATATAAACAATAAAAGACAAAAACCCAAAGAGGAAAGAGAAAGGAAAACATTTAGATTCTCTGAGTGATGGAAATAAATACCAAAGCTATTAGTTTCAGTTCAAAGAACATATCACTTTGTGCTGTTTATTATTTCTGAAGGAGTATTTATTTTATCTTGGAGTATCTAAAGGGCAAAAGGGGTGCTCAAGGTAAGGGATGATGTAACTGACCTGGTCTGGAGAGGGTCTGTGGTTGGAATGTTGGGACCTCCCGGGAGACCGGTGATGGTGATGGTGGTGATGATGATGGTAATGGTGATGGTCTTCATCGTAATTGTCAGCCATCAACTTCATTCTGTTCTGGGTCTGTGTGGAACAGAAAGGGGGACGAGTTCCATCAGCTGTGGGAAGACTATGGAAACAGAGTGTCGGCAATAGTATGAGTATCTACAGTTCCCCATTCACAAGTTATGACTTTAAGTCAAATTGAAATCAACGCAAGAAAACAGTCTGATGATGGTTTTGCAACACACTGGAAGAGGGCCTATTCCAGGCAATGCATTTGTATTTGTAAATTTCCTTTTCTTTGGGACATTCCATCCATTCACACGGCCCCATGGCAGTGATTGAGTCCCAAAGGTCACGTTTCACAATCAGCCATGAGCAAGAGAAGTGAGTCTCAGAACCTGAGATGATATAATGCTAGAACAAGGCACATAATTACACACGTGAACAGGATGAAGTAATGAGACAACAACGAGAACACCATTACCCTTGGAAAAAAATAGCCAATGGAGATGAAGTCACTGGACTATCTCTCAAAGACAATCAAGAAAGAGTTCATTCTGTGTTGATCACTTTTAGCTGTTGTGATCATGATAGAACCACATTAGGGAGGTATATTTATTAAGGGGAAAAAAATGAAGCAAAGTGGAGGGATTTTGTTGGCCTACATCTGTTGTTTCTCTTTCACAGCATTTGTCACAATAGGCCATTATTTAACATCCAACTTAAACTTTCAACCTTTGATCAGCTGAGAAAGTCTATCTCGTCTCATTACATTGGAAAGGAAATCAGCCAAGGATGAATTTACCTAAATGGTTCACGGTACCTATTAATTCAGAAGTGTCTAAAGACCCCCCAATAGCACAAGGAGATGAGACCAACTTATTGGCTGGTACAGAGCCAACCATTTGAGGGGAGCACATTTATCCTTATGTTGTTGTTCAGTTGTTTTCAGTCATGTCCAACTTTTTGTAATCCTATTTGGAAACCCCATATCTTGGCAGAGATACTGGAATGGTTTGCCGTTTCTTCTCCACCTCATTTTACAGATGAGAAATGGAGGCACATAGGATTAATTGGTTTGCCCAGGGTCACGCAGCTAGTAAGTGTCTGAGGCCAGATTTGAACTCAAGTCTTCCTGACTCTAGCCAGACCCAGTGCCTTATCCACTGCACCACCTGGATGCCTCTATAAAAAAAATGGGGGATGTCATGAATTTGCATCCTACTCTATCAAAATTCTTACCATATAACCCAGCCAGGTTCCTATTAGTGCGAATAATGAATCCTGTGAAGAAGTTGCATGTCTTTGAATTCAAGCTCTTTGAAGTTATAATTAAGTAAAATACGGTAATTGGTTCCAGCCCAGTGGAAGTATGTAGTGCAGATTCAAATAATGTGGCCACTTCACAGGATTCATTATGCTAACCACCCAGGACCTCGCAATATCATTTTTGTCCTCTTGACGCTTAGGGGATGAAGCTAGGAAGGATTACTGCCTTCTTCATCTCCAGAAAATCACAGTTTCAGAGTGAAGCGACCGCATAAACCTTCTCTTGTAGTGGTGCTTAACCTGGGGTCCCTAAACTTGATTTCAATTATATTACCATACCCATATTTAAATAGTACAGATTCCTTTGTAACCTTTTGCATTTTGGTTTGTGCATTTAAAACCACGGTTCTGAGAAGGAGCCCATAGGCTTCATCAGGCTGTCCAAGGACTTAAGAATCCCTGCTCTAGTCCATTCACAATCATACAAAAATACCCTCAATACTGGACCAGTCAAGGAGTCCCACACAGTCCTACCTTGAAGACCCCCCAGGAAGTCTTTCCTTCTCTACTCCTTGTATAAATAAGGCATTTCTTCCTGGCAACATTTTCTGAAGACATGGTCTCATGGGGAGCATCCTTGAATCACAGGATATGAATATTTCCTTAACTGTTTTAATATCATTTCTCTAGCTTTCCCAAGAAGTCACTAGGGCCACCACTGCCAGGATGAACACGTCCATTTCACTGCAGCTACGCCAGCACGGATTATTTAGTCTTTTTTTTCTTTGCCCCACTTGACAGAAATAAGGCATGAACTTGGCAGTTTCCCATAAGACAATGAGCTCCTAATAAGCAGAGATTGTCTTTTGCCTTTCCACTGTATCCTGAGGGCTTAGCCCAATGCCTGGCATACAGTAGGCACTTAATAAATGTTTAATAATATTATGACTGACTTTTAACTTGAAATTCTCTGATTATCAGAGATTATGGGTTTTTTTTTTCTATTGGAGAATGACTCCTATGTTTATACAATAATGGATTCTAAAGATTTGAATATTAGATTTTTTTAAAATTAGAAATTCTTAAAACATTTCCCCCCTTCCCTGGTATTTTCTCTATTTTTATACATCAATAGTCATACACCACCCAGCCCAAAATTCTCTCTCGCCTTAGATACACAAACACACACACACACACACACACACACACACACACACACACACTTAAATACAGTTCCTAATTTTTGCTACCTCAATCCATTTTTCAATGGTTTTATTCTACCCCAACTCCCTTTTTCCTGTGCAGGTGTGTTACTCTGGAATGACCACATTCCCCTCCTCTCTATTGCATCAACTCCAGAGATGACATTTTAAAGAAAATATTGTGATTGTTTTGTTACATTATTAAGAAACACCATAGCAGAGTGGGGAGAAAATAGTCTTTGGTGCCAGGAATGAGTTCAAATCCTGCTTCTCATACATCCTGGCCATGTGACCCTAGGCAGGCCACCTAATCAATCACTACTCTCTAGACAGCTTTCTAAGATTATACCTTGCAAAGGAGATGCCTACCTGTATAAAGAGAGGGAGTATTCTCATCCAGGGGTTCCATACCATTGAAATCCCATGGCCCATTCCAACTCTTATTCCTCTTCCTAGTAAGCAGGCATATATATTCCTGCTATGTCTATATTTCTTCATTTACTCACACAGCGCACTCCAACCCAAAGCCCATTTGGAACTGCTGATTACCAATGAAAGGAAACTTGCTGCCAACTTGTTTTCACCCAAACCGGGCCATGAGGAATTCATTAATGGACTGCAGGCCACTGTTGCCTTGATGTCTGCTTCTAATAGTTCTAGTGGTGAGGAATCCATTCATTCTATCCACTTCTGCCATTCTGAGATCCCGTACCCACTCTACTACCCTACCTCTTGGGATAACTGAGATTCAACTGTTTGCTAAACCCACGGGGTAACGATAATTAACAACAATAATAATATCTAACATTTATATAATGCTTTAAGGTTGGCAAAACACTTTACATATATTATCTCATTTGCCCCTCATCATAACCCTGGGAGGTAGGTGCTACTATTATCTTCATTTTACAGATGAGGAAACTAAAACGGAGAGAAACTAAGTGACTTACTCAGAGCTTGAAGTTGAAGAGCTATTATGTGTCTGAGGCTGGATAGGAACCCAGGTCTTCCTGACTCCAAGTCAAGCTTTCTATCTCCATTTAATGATTTAAAAAAAATCTATTCAGTATTTAACATCGTTGAAATTCATTCATGATTTGACTATTAAGGTTCTATTCAGGTCAGGATTTCTTTAACTGTTGATATCAAAGACCTGAGGGGACTTGCTTTCTTCTACAGGAACTCTTGGACAAGTTCTTGAGAACTGAATGATTCGCCTTCAAATATTACAGTTTATCTAGCCAGATCATGTTGGGATGCCGCTAAATTTCCCTTGATTTTCAATATAGCAGCACGACCATTTTCCCTGTGTTTTGTCTCAGATGAAGCATCCTTTGAAATTTGAATAGGTGTTCCTGGATTGGTTAAGGCTCTTCTTAGATGCTGGTATAATTATTTACTTATTGGTACAGTTTAGGAATTTGACCATTGTTTGGTAAGTTCAATTTGACATTCCTTGCTGCCTGCATTTGATTCTGTCCATTGGTACTCTGCCCATTTCCTGCCCCCACCTTCTGCCCCTTTTGTGACTGATATGGTAGGGAACACATGGTGAGGAGCTTGTCCAGCTTGGTTCAGAAGCCATTCTCTGACTGACTGCATTAGAGAGCCGCCTGGATGCTGAGAATTTAAGTGACTTGTCCAGTGTCACATAGCCAGTAGTATTAGATGTGGGGCCTGAACCAAGGAGATCCTGACTCCAAGGCCAACTCTCTAGCCACTAACCCAGACGGCCTCCTAACTCGTCCTTTCATCTTAATGATTCTTAGAACTTTCCTAATGCAATTTACTGAAACACGGTGATGATACTCCCTTAATTTTTTTTCCAGAGGACTGAGTCCATTGATTAAAAATAGTAATAATAGCTAATACTTATATAGAATTTTTTAAATTACAAAGCGTTCTGTCTGTTTTGTCTCATTTAATCCTCATGACAACCCTGAGAGGTAGGTGTTCATATTATCCCAATGTTAGGGGCAGCTAGGTGGCGCAGTGAGTGGATAGAGCACCAGCCCAGGAGTCAGGAGGACCTGAGTTCAAATGTGACCTCAGACACGTAATACTTCCTAGCTGTATGAATCTGGACAAGTCACTTAACCCCAATTGCCTCACACAAATAAATAAATAAATAAATAAAATACAAAACATATTATCCTCATGTTACAAGAGAGGAAACAGGCTCTGGCCTTTGTCCTCTATTTTGGCTCCTGGTGTGATAAAGGCCTCAAGGCCAGTGGAGTTTGCTTCTTTAGTTCCTGCTTTCCCAATGCTTATTCTGCCATCTTGACTTTGATATATATTTTCTAGGAGAGTCTTCATGCCATTAAATATCATTATGTTTTCTCTTGTTCCTGTTTTTGGGACAAAAGGCCCCTTGTTAAAATGTCAGGGTAGGGACTAGGCCCAAGACTTCTATATCAAATAGGAAACTCCCCAAGAAGGAGACTCTTTACCAATGCAGGTGGCACCTTTTCCTTAACCTAGTGTTTTAGAGTTGCCCGAGGCCCTGAGAAGCTGCAGGGTCACACAGCCAGGATGTTTCAGAGGCTGTATTTGAACCTAGTTCTCACTGATTCCAAGGTTAGCTCTGTTCTCTAGGCCACATTG